CGCCGTAAAACCCTATACTAAACAAACAAACAATACACACACACCTGCCAATCTAAACATAATTCACTGACTCACCTCTCAAAGCACTACACACACACACACACACACACACATACACACATACACACATACACACACACACACACACACACACACACACACACACACAAACACACACACACACACACACACAAACCTGTCCATCTAAGTATGATTCACTGACTTACCTCTCAAAGTACTCCACACAGACCTGCGCTACGCCGTCGTGCACCGAGCCCATCATCTCTATCAGGCTGCTCTTCACGTCCGCCGAGGCCTCCATCTCGAACGGCCCCAGGAAGTGGGTGGACACAGCCACCAGCGCATCGCGGGGCCACTTGCTGAACCAGTCCATGGTACAGCCTGAGATCAAGCCCGGGAACTTGAGGGCCCGTGTTCGAAACTTTTCTCCCACCTTTTTTTAGTTTGGGAAAGAGTTTTGCGGCATTTTAACACAAATAGGTCATACAATTGCCGAAGATTAGAGATGTTACAAGTGAGTAATATACACAGAAAAGAAGGAGGAGAGATAAGGACGACAGATGTTTGATAGGAATGAAGGAGTAGACTTCACCACAGCACCCGCCAAATGCCGATTATCTGACTTGGTTTCGAGTCAGCGAGAAACATATTGATATAGGGATGGGGATTTCAGGCACAAGACAGGCCTACAAGTCCAATAACAATAAACAAAACAAGACAGGGATGAAATGGAAGTACGACATTACAGAAAGAAGGAGCAAACCACACCATAGTACCGCCAACCACCCACGAGGAAAACAACTGGGGAGAAACAGAGTACGGTGTGGAGGTATATAACCAAGGAGGAACAAAGCACAGCGTGGAGGTTAGCATTCCATAGGAAAAGCAGAGTACACTGGTGAACATTATCAAGAAGAAATAGGGTATTGTGGCCAACATTAGTAGGGAGAAACTGAGTACGGTGGTAAACATTACTGGAGAAAAACAGAGTATAGTGTAGAAGAAAACATGGCTGAGGAGACACAGTGTAGAGATAAATATTACCGGTGAGAAACAGAGTACAGTGTGGAGGTTTGCCCGAGCTCTGGTCATGAAATAGTCGTAGAGATTCTCCTGTGTGGGCGGACGGCGGGGGAATTCTTTTTTCATGACTGGGATGAGCTCTCCCGTTATCTCGTCAATCTCGTCGCGCGCAAACAAGTTGGAAATCTGGGAAACAACAGTTTATAATTAAGTTTGGAAAGCTCAACTTTGGGAAGCTTAAGGCAAAGGCCTATTTCTTTAACCGAGCAATAGTCTGCTAAGCTATCATCCAAAACATATTATAAGAAGAAAAAAACTACACTTCTTTAAGAAATTAAACAGCTTTTCTGTGAAAGGAGGGAAAAACTAAGCTTTGACCTAAGATAAGATTTTAAAAATAATGTTATTATATGATATACTCTCTTGATTCTCCACTAGAAAAAAATGATATAATGCAATACACTCTTCCTTTCTCTGTTCTTTTCCGTTGCCATCACTCTATAGACCCAGTACGCCACTCAACGATTCCCTTTCTAAAATACATCCTTTTCACCGGCCTGTGTGGTGTAGCGGTCATGTGACACTTGAGTTCGACGAGTGGGGGAGGATTTTTATCGAATATCTTTGTCGTTCTGCTGAGGTGTTGTATTCCCTTCAGCTCAGGTTGGCCTTGACAGGCAGGGTCGGAAGCCCGCTTCCTAAATGAGCTATATTATGTCAATGGAGTACAACCACCTACGTTTGTATACATTAGTTTCTCAGACCTGTCTTTGACGAAACGTTCATCTATCGTTTTTTCTCTTCTCTGCGTCCTCCTCACCTCTCCAGAGCTGAGCACGTTGTTGAGATATTCCAGGAACCCTTCGTCCTTGACCTCGTTGTCGGTGAAGAGGAAGGTGATGCCTTTGCCCATCTGTCCGGCCACACGGTACATGTGCTTCAGATCGTCCATCAGGTTGCCTACATTGTAAGACCTGCACACAGACACAATGATTAATAAATAGCAACTTCTATGCGATTTGCATTGACAGCAGCTTTGTGGAAGTAAGAGTTTAACTTACAAAAACAGGTAAAAGATCTAAATAAGGACCAGAAAGAAAATAGTAGGATGACATAAAAGAGCAGATGGTTACAACCTGGACATAGAAAACAGCTGATAGAATAGAGTGGAGATCGTTGTAGGGGGACTTCATCCTGCAGTGGACGAACAACGCCTAGAAAGAAAGAAACAAACAAACAAAGAAACACACAACGAAAGAAAAGAAAGAAAGAAAGAAAGAAAGACAGGAAGAAAGGAAGAGAGTAACTGTGACAAATATATTTCATGCATACTCACAGCATGAACAGATACACATCA